TTTTATTATTTTTTTTATTTGCTTATCTTTCTATCCTGGGGGATAAAAGAATGGAGATATCACACTCCAGCACTGACATTGTAGGAAATGAATTACATGAAAGGAGTAAAAGAGATGTGTTTAGGAGAGGAAGTAGTTACAGCCGAACGATGAATTTTTCTCAGAGTATTTTTGGGAAGCAAATCTTAGGCTTCCCTTGGAACAATACAGGAATGAGAGTGATCACCAGCTTCTGTGTGGTGAAATACCAGTCAGCTTTAAAGGTGGTGCTTCGGTTCCTGTCAGCACTTAAAAGCTGCAAAACTAAAAGATTTGCTGAAAGCAAATGTTGTGAATTTCAAGCAGTCAAATGATCTTAGAGTGAGAAGACAGAAAGAGCAGAGATGCTTCATCCAGCAAAGGCCTTCACCACAGCAGTGGACACTGCCATGTGATTTGTTATGCATTGATTTTTTTTGCCTGTGAGTTTTTTTTCTTTGTTAGATTTGAAGCATAACTTATCCATTCCCACACATTGGGAATTTTGATAGGCTTGAATATCGGAATTGTTTGATCTGCTGTCTTCTTTTCCTCACCAGAGAGGTCTGTAGGGTTTGAGCCTAAGACTGCGTAGTGATCACTGCAGGAGAACTGCCTGTGGTGAGTCTTCACATTATACATTCGCTGCACTTGCCTTTGCTATTGCAGGCAGAAACAGCCTTCAGTGTTGACCTTGATCAGGTTAAAATTAAGGGCTAAAGTAATTCTGCTGTGAATAATAGGATACGTAGCTTCTAAGAACCGTTTGAAGTCTCATGATGGTGGCAGCCACTCTGACTCCCCCCCCCCATTTCTTGCCTTCTGCTACAAGATATTTTGGAAATTAACCAGAATTGCATTTCAGTTGTTTTTCAGTTAGCCTTGGAGAAATCTGGGAGCTCAGCAGTCCAGAAGCTTTTTCTTTTTTAGAGGAAGAGAGGCAAGATCTAAGTGTATGTAGTATTTGCAACAAATTGGTTTTGTGTATATGTGCATCCATAAGCATTTATTTTAATACTGCCTTATTGTACACTTAATATTACTAGTATTGAGTACCTATAAAATCTTGAAGAACCTCTGGGAGTGTTGAAGAATGATATCTTATTAATGTAACTATTTAATATGTATGCTGGCATTCTGCTTCCTATACAGTCTTATCTGATGATTCTGAGTAAATCTAAACATTCATCTGACCATTATCCCCAGTTATCTTTTCATTCTTGGCAAAAGGGGGTTTAGAGCTGTTGCATTGTCACTGCATCTCCCTTCTGTCTGCTTTTTTACTACAAATGTGAAGATAATAGATTCACATTGTAAAAAGGAGAGAAAAGTCTATCCCAAATATTTTTCTAGTGCATTTTCTACCCCTAACATCATGTTGTAACCTTGACAATCTCTCTCCATTTAGGTCCTCTCGTGTGGGAGTCAGTTGAAGTCAGAGTATAATTACTACTTGTAGGGAGATTAATGACTCTGGCCTTTCTTTATTCTCTCAGTTCCTATAGCTGTGTCACCTACCTGGTAGCGCTCAGATCCTTAACAGGTGCTGTTAAATTCATATCGAAAGGTAAATTGGAAAGAAGTATCATTAAAAGGTAAAGAACATGAACTGTTGGGGAACTCCAGAGATTTCCCCTTTCAGCTCTCTGTAAAACTCTGTCAAGGCTCCTGTTTATTTTACTGTTTACCTCCTCATTCCCCTGAGTCCCTGGATGCACTGTGGCACTTTGGCCCAAGTTGAGTTCTTGTTGTGGTTACTAAGGCATTTAATGGCATTAACTTTTATGTTACTATTCCATATTTTCCCTGTTGGTACCAATCTCCTGACAATATCTGCTTTTTTGTCTTTGGTATATGAGAAAGATGTTTTTAAAGTCTTTTTCTGATTTTTATTTTCTCCTGGAGAATGGTAAATGAGAGGATTTTTCCAGTGAGTGCTAAAATCCGACATCCTGTAAAGCCGCCTAGGTTATGAGGTGGATATCGCAGAGCTCCTTATAATGCATTATGGTTTAATATAGATTATAGATGTGGCCATATGGCAATTGGCAGAGCGGAAGCTGTAATTAAGCCCTGCTGTGCTTCTCTATGGTTCCTCTTCAGTTTCTCTTGCAAAATACAGTGGTACCTTGTTACTCATTGCTGGCTGTTTCTGGGACCTAACAAATTGTTTTGGCTGGAAAAGGATAGTAAGGCGTTAAGACCATCAACACCAACAAATTCTGTCTTGTGTTAAGTACCCCAAAGACAAGTATCAGACAAAAATTTCAGATCGCAATGCATTGAGTACAAATTCAATGAATATCAAAGCAGTAGGGAACCAAGATATGATTTTGTTGAAGGAAACTGAATAGATTGAAATTTATTGGTGGGTTTCTTCATTTTTCCCACTCAATTAACTAAACAATGAAACAAGGCATCCTCATACAGACAGATCCTGAACTCTACTTTTTTGGTATATATGATAGTCAGTTTCCTGTATGTATTAGGTTTTTCTTAGTGATCAGTTAATGTTGTTCTCTTTAAATATTTTATATCAAGGTTTACTGTGAAATACTGCTTGAAAGCAACAGTGCTGTTTCTAACTTACAGCTTAGGTACTGTTTTCTTAGTGCTGCAGAACTGGGGGCTTGAGTGTATCTAGAACATACTAGCATATCTTCTTCTGACCTCCCAGAAACTATGAGCATCCTAGCAAGACAGAAAATCACTTCCCAGAAGCGCTGACCTTGAAGAGAGGGGCAGAGGAGGAGAGCAGAGAGACAAGGAGAAACTGGAACCAGTTGGCAGTGAGACACGCCCAAACAGTGCAACCACCAGGTTCACAGGAGCAGCCTACAGGGTTTAGGCCAATCTCTGTGTCCAAGAAAGAGGACCTTGCAGGGATTTATCTTGCTGATAGAAGAAAGGAAACAAACCCAAAGCAAAGGAAATGCACATACTGGCAGTGACATTGCGTCTGTCACAGTTCTTTCCCAAGAGAAAGAAGAAAGAGCCAGGAGTAAGGATGATCTAACTTCCCCTTTCCAGGGACTCTCAAGAAGTTCTAAGAGCATCCTGAGAGTACTTGAGGGTGACAGTCAGATTCCAGCATTGGAAAGGAGTAGTAATGATGTAGGGGGAAAATGTAACTCCCAGCCTGCTAAATGTCAGATATGCCGAGTTTGTGTCCCCTGCAATTGAAGAATGAATTCCAAAGGACAAAGGAAGTGAAAAGTAGGAAAGGTCTTTTGGGGAATAGGAATAGCTCCTGAGAGACAAGAGGGGTCCTGGAAATGGGTTGCCACTGGGAGTCTTTGTCAGGGGTAATTTATACAGCAAAGCCACAGTATGGGTATAGTGTGGGTCAAACTGCCATCATCCTATAAAATTACAAATATAGCTGCTTGGCTAATATTGGTCCAGTAGGAAAGCAGGTCATGTAACAAGGATACATGGAAAGAACAATGACTTTTTTTTTTTTTTTGGTGTGGGGGTGGGGTGGGATAGTAGGGATGGAACTTGGGATCTTGCACTTGCGACGCCAGCAGTGGGACCATTGAGCTAAATCTCCAGCCCAAGACATTTTTGAGATGAGATGGGTCTGGATGCTCCGGTCACCTACCTGGGTAACTGGTGTCTACCTGGACTCTACTACACTCGCTAATGCTAATTATAGTACAATTCCAAATTACTGCTTGCTTATTCCTTAGGGAGGTATGTAGGTCTGGCCTTTTTCATATGGCCTCCAGTGACAATTCTGATGTCTTTTTCTGTTGACTTCCTTGACAGCCCAGTTCCTGGCTGTTAATTAATTTCTATCTAACCTAGCTACCTATAATAGTAGGGAGATTTGAGTTTAGTTTATCTGTATTTTTACTCTAAAATCTGTACATGGTGAAAAATAAAAAACAAAATCTGTACATGGCCATTTTAAAGCATCTTTTAAGTCCTTACCACATGCTGGGTGTGGTGGCACATGCCTAAAAGATTGCCAAATTAAGTAATTCCTGAATTTCAGAAACCCAACATGCCTTCTTACTTTTATCATAGGTGCAGAAGATTCATTATACAACCTTCCACTCCCACTTCATTTTATGAAAAAGGTGGTGTTGGGGAAGTATAATTTGCACACATGCTCGTGAGCAGATAAGAATAAGGTTTTGGCAGCTCTTCAAAGGACAATAATTTTAGTCAGTGTAGGAACATTCTGTGGAGTGAGTTTGAGCTGCAGTAGTGTGGGCTTTTTGTGTGAGAATTCATAGCCAACTGCAAAGAATGCAGGCACATCTAGAGCTCATCCTCGAGGAAAGTGTGGATGCAGTGGGGAGACAGATTCTAGGCTGAGTAAATTATCCCAGAAACAGAGATCCATGGCAGAGCTGTCCAGAAGCTTGGATTGTAGATGCATGGGTGGCCATCTCTGAATATTTCTGTTTAAGACCACATTTAATCTGTGAAAAGCCTTTCCTAAGGGGAAAGAATCCCTTTCCTTGACACTCATTTTATGTGGATTGGTTTCATAGTTAATCTTCAGAGCAAATCAAGCAGTTCGTATAGGAGAGCTGCACCTAGCATAGGGTGCTAATGTTTAAACCACTAGATTTGTAATAATGTCATCAGAACTTGCAGGGCCAAAATCATATATTTGGAGCCGCTGCCTTATGGCAGCAAAGGAAATAGGATTAGGTTGAATACAAAAAGGTGTTTCTTTATTTGAATGTGGTGGTGCACACCTGTATTCTCAGCACTCTAGGTGGCTGAGACAGGAGAATCACAAGTTCAAGCCCAACTTAGGCAACTTAGTGACTTAGCAAGACCCTGTCTAAACTTTTTTTTTTTTTTTTTTTTTTTTTTACTTTCTGTAAGAAGGAACTGGGGATGTAGCTCAGTGCAGAGGCTCTGGTTTCAATCTCTGGTACCATAAAATAGTTTTGGGTGGAGGAGTGTTTTCTCTCTGTGATCTCCCTGCAACTCAGTGGCTATTTTTTCTTCCCCCACAGATGGAGTCCCCCGTCTCTACACCAGCGGTGCTGCCACTGCACCTTTTGGTACCAGTGGTCAATAATGACATCTCATCTCCCTGTGAGCAAATCATGGTCCGTACCCGATCTGTTGGGGTCAACACGTGTGATGTGGCTCTGGCCACAGAACCTGAGTGCTTGGGCCCCTGTGAACCTGGAACCAGCGTCAACCTTGAAGGAATTGTGTGGCAGGAAACAGAAGACGGTATGTGCTATCATAGCTTTCCACCCCTCTCCATACGCTTCTACAGAGGACACAATACGGGTTTGCTGTTGTGAATGCTGCCTGCATATATAAAGAATCTTGGACTTGACTTACAGAGAGAATAGCAACAACCATCCTAGCAGAATCTCCTGCTTCTAGAGAATGCCAGAGCCAGTTTTTTATTCATTTTATTGCTTTATCTGTATTTTTAAAGTGCTTGGGATCACAAGCAAGCAAAGAACTCTACAAATAAACTACATGGTCCCACGCCAGTAACAGTTTTTTAAGATTATTTCCCCTTCATAGCTGTTCAACAGTGTTGGTCCTGGTACTTAGGTAATCACTTAATTGGCACTCATTAGGTAATTTAAACTGTGTGTACACTCTATAGCCTTTCTATAATTTTATATGAGATTTAGATTATTAATGAAATTGAGGTCAGTAAATGAAATAAAAGAACAGCTGAGGAAGTAAAGGAAATGGAGAACAGTCACTCTTCTGGGCCACATGGTGATTTAAGGCCAGCCTGAACTACACAGTACAGAGAGACCCTGTCTCAAAAAACCCAAATAAAACATTATATAAACATAAACATTATTGTATAACACTATTATATACATTATATAATATGTAATATTACTATTATAATATAAATAAATTAAGCATTCACTAGGCTGGCACACACTTCAGGAGGCTGAGGCAGGGGGATCATTATGAGTTCCAGACCAGCCTGAACTACATCATGAGACCTTGTCTCAGACAAAACAAAAGCCTAAATAAATAAATCAAATTGGCTGAATGCTGGTGCACTGAATATGCAGCTCTTGCCTTCTTTTAACCCCTGGAGGGGTACCCAGCTCCTTCCTCCTTCTGGCTGGCTCATTGCCCATACATCTGTCACTTAGTACAGGGTTTATAGACCCAGCCAGCAGGCTGCAGACTTCCTGTATATTCCATTTGACCCTAAGAATAGATCTTCTGTTTTAGAAGTTCATAAAGCTCAAAAAAAAAGGAAGAATAGGAAAAAAACCAAGAGAGCAAAGGTATTTAACCAAGTATTTCAAGATCTCTTGGTAATATCTGGTGGCAAGTGTTTCAGTTCATCCTTTCAATAAAGAATCCACATCTCGGGCCAGGGATTTAGTTCAGTGGTTCTGCTGCCTGCCTTGCAAGCACAAGGACCCGAGTTCAATCCCCGGTACCAAAAAAAAAAAAAAAAAAAGAGAGAGAGAGAGAATCCAAGTCTCCATCCCACTATATGTGTTTGGAGAGTTTGGGCCTCAGAGCCCTATCATGTCTGTCCATCAGTAACCAGACTTTCAAAGCATACTAACTTGGGTTAAGAGGCCCAGAAGAGCAGAGCTAAATACCTGTGATTATCACAAAGCAAACTTGTCAGCTTGCCCATAGAAGTTGAGGCCTTTCATTCTGGCGGGTCTGACAAGTCTGTTCTCTTGAATCTTTTTTGTCATTTAAGTTCGCAATTCAGTAGGTGCTGTTGTGTTCCCTGGTGAAGAACTCTATGTTCCTGGCTGTCTGGTCATTAGGGATATTGTAAAACTTCAGCTTTCAGAATAACATTGTAGATGAGGATTTATCGTATGCTTGAGATCATAATGCTAAAAATAAAAACAAAATTACAGATTGTGGTAGAAATTGATTTAAATAAGGTAGAGTAAGGGCGACTCTAGAGCACAGGTGGTGAACTTAGAGCGCGTGTACCACAGCAGACTTTTTGTCATCATTGGAAACACTAAAGGTTCACCGTCGCTGCTCTAGAGATTGATCCTGGATGTGTTGTACAGTATGCCATCTTGTACCAGGCATGATGGCACAAGGTTGTAATACCAGCACTCAGGAGGCTGAGGCTGTAGGATCGCCATGAATTCAAAGCCAGCCTGATCTACACATCAAGAAGACTTTGTCCCAAAAAATCAGAATCAAACAATGTTCAATCTAGAAATCACAAAGTAGATGTGCAGTTTTTAAAATATCTTTTGGGGTTCTGTGGCACTGCACCTGCCTCGCAAGCACAAGGTCCCGAGTTTGATCCCCAGTACAGGAAAAAAAAAATGCAATTTGCTTATGACCAAATGTATTAATAGCCAGAACCTGTTGGAATGACAAAAATATCCAGACCATATCTCTGTGCCACCCAGAAACCTTCAGGGCCCCTTGCCTCAAAAATATGGAAAATAGAACACATCAACATCCCATCTGTGTGTTCTACTCATATTAATGGTGATGAGTTTTTGCCAAAGGCAAAATATAAACCTCACAAAAACATTTGAAGAAAGTGAGCCTCACTCTTTCACTCCCTGAGGATCTTGAGCTCCCTTTCTCTTCTAGGATCCCTGTTTTCTCTCCTTCCACCTGAATGGCTCTCCTGTCCGGTTGCCATTGGACACCTATCACCAGGTTCCCATGTTAAGTTCTCTCTTTTTTTTTTTTTTGGTGCCAGGGATCGAACTTGGGACCTTATGCTTGTGAAGCAGGTGGCAGAACTAAAACCCTGGCCCTCATGTTAAGTACTCCTAATATGCCCTGGACTCTGCTCTCATCACAGTTTGTAACTTTTTTTTTTAATAGTAATTGTGTGGGAGCTGGGCATGGTGACACATGCCTGTAATCCCAGCACTTGGGAGGCTGAGGCAGGAGGATCGCTGTGAGTTCGAGACCAGCCTGGGCTACATAGTGAGTTCCAGGTCAGTCTCAACTATGTAGTGAGACCCTGTCTCCAAAAAACAAAAACAAAAAACCCAAAAACAACAAACAAACAAACAATATATATATATGGTAATTGTATGGGTTTTCTCCTTTCTTCTACTTTCTGCAGTGCTGGGGATTAAATCTTGAGGATTGCAAGCACATTCTAGGCAAGTGCTTTACCACTAAGCTCACCTCCATCTCTTGTGAATAGTCATTTTTAAGTAGCCCTCTTTTTAAATTAAAATGTCTCTCTTCCACTGTTTTAGATGTTCTGTAAGATCAGGAACTCTATTTTGCTCACAATTGTGTCTCCAACACTTAACACCTGCCACCTGTAATAGGCATTCAAATATTTTTGTTTCAGGCCAGACATGGTGGCACACACCTATAATCCAGCACTTGGGAGTACGAGGCGGGAGAATTGCTGTCAGTTCAGGGACAGCTTGGGATACGTAGTGAGTTCAAGACCAGCCTGAACTACATAGTGAGACCCTTTCTCAAAAAACCAAAAATAAATAAATAAATAAATAAATAAAAGCAAAAATATCTGTTTCATGTTTGAGGGTGAAGCTCAGTGATAGCAGGTTTGCCTAGCATATGTGAGGCCCTGCCTTCAATTTCCAGTACCACATAGACACACAAAAATCCAGGTGTGGTGGCACACACCTGTTATCCCAACATTCTGGGAGGCTGAGGCAAAAAGGTCACAAGTGAGAGCCTACCTTGGGCAATTTAGGGACACCTTTTCTCAAAAAAGGGGTAGGAGCTCGCCAAGCGTGATGGCACACACCTATAATCACTGCGCTCAGGAGGCTGAGGCAGGAGTCCAAGGCCAGCCTGTGTTACATAGTGAGTTGAAGGCCAGCCTGAACTATAAAGTAAGACCCTGTCTCAAAAAAAAAGAAAAGAAATGGCCAAGGATTTAGCTCGGTGGTTCTGCCACCTGCCTCACAAGCACAAGGACCCGAGTTCAATCCCCGGTACCCCCCACAAAAAAAGAAGGGTAGAGATGTAGTTTAATGGTAGAGAATTTACCAAGCGTAGATTCAGTCCCCAGTACTGCCCCCCCAAAAAAGTTTGAATATTTACATCCATTTTATTGTCATTTCTGACAATGCTTTCCAGAATGCTTTCCAGAATTCTCTAAGATTTAAAATAAATTCTGCTTTTAGCACAGTTAAGATCACTCTCGTTTGTCAAAATCTGTAAGATTTATTAAAGTTCTCTGGGTTTTTTGGTTTTGTTTTGCAGTCGTTTTCCCCCTGTGGCACTGGGGGTCTTCACACTGAAGTATGTGCCAGCTCCCCCACCGCTTTTATCTTATTTTATTTTGTTTCATTCTGAGACAGAGTCATGTGAAGTTCTCTCTGCTGGGCTATAACTCACCGTCTTCCTGCCTCAGCCTTCCAGAATGCTGGGATGACAGTCATGAACCACCACAGCCAGCTTGTGGTTCTTTTAATACCAGATTTTCTCCTACTTCCTGTATTGTGTTTCAAGCCATATTTCCCTTTTGTTTTTTCTCCTTTTCATTCTCAGAGAAAGAGAACTGTTCTGCCATGGTATGTTCTGTTTTTCTTTGCTTTAATGGCAATTGTCATTAGGCAAAAGTCTGCCATCAGGATTGCTTCATGTTTCTTTTCATCTTCGAGTAACAGAAGATTTCCTGCAAAAATCATCTCTGAAGATCTAAATGAGCAGAGTGTAGTGGTGCACATCTTTGATCCAAGCACTCTGGAGGCAGAGTCAGAAGGATTTCAAGTTTGAACCCAATTCAAATTCAAATTGCCTGGGCAATTTAGTGACTTTTATCACTACTCTTTTGAAATTATAAAAGTCAGAGACACAATCTTCAGAAACTTTCAAAGAAATTATACTCTGAGAAACTTTTTTTGGGGGGGGTAGTTGGAGGGCTTGAACCCTAGAGCATTTGCACTGAGCTACATCTCCAGACTTTTTAAAATTATTATTTTTTATTTTGAGACAAGGTCCCTCATTGAGTCGTTAAATTGCCCCAGCCTCAGCTGGGACACCAGCTCCTCTGAGAAACTGGAGCATAGAGAAAACTCAGTGGTGACCAGCGCAGCCGGGGTGCTGAAAGGGCAGGCCCTGGCTCTGCAGCCACTCCGCCCGCCACAGCTCACAGCACTTGGTTTTGGAAGATTTCATGTCATGCTTCTTTGAAAAAACCTTATTTTAAAAAGATTTTTCTGTTTAAAAATGCTTTAATAATTATCTATATTAATCCTTCCACACCATTTAGAAATCCATGCTTGGAGCACTTCTGAAAT